TTCAATAACGATAAGTTTTCCGAAATTGAAGCATCGGTGCGAGTTTTAAAACAGGAACAACTTATCTCAGCTGCCCGCAGTCCATAGTATCAACAAACTTGCGCAGCCACAAATAAAAAAAAAAAAAAAAAAAAAAAAAAAAAAAAAAAAAAAANAAAAAAAAAAAAAAAAAAAAAAAAAAAAAAAAAAAAAAAAAGTAAGTGAGTAAATAAGAAAAAAAGATCAGCTACAAAAGCTACGAGTAGTTTGAAAAATCTCACAGGTGTAACGGAAGACACGAGATGGGGTGAAACGATAGTGCGACAGGAGCGCGATAATCGGCCCTATTTGCCCATCGAATCACGATGTTGCCACTTCAGCAAGATCCACGCGAGATACCAGGGTAAAAGCGTCATTTTGTGAGGAGATGGAGAAACGCCGAAAACACCTTACCCCTCGATTGTGTGCACAGAATCCGATACACGGCAATGATAAGGGCTCCGCTCCCGAAACGCGTTTAACACCTCACTTTACAGTTTACACCCCTTTAATGAGGACATTACGATGCAACAGGCGATCTGGGCGTGCGCTGCGCTTGTCAGAAAACTGCATCAACCTCTCAGCCTCAGCTCGTGGATGAATTAAGGTTTTGCTTTATGGTGAATTTATGGGTAAAGGAGATGAGTGCCTTTATTATTGGGGGATGATGGGGGTGGAGGGGTTGTTGTTGAGTTATCGGTCTGTGTACAGTGAAACTGAATGTCAAAATTCAGGGAGAGACACGAGCCACGTGTTAGACTGCAATCGAGAGAAAGGGGTTTGATGTTTTATTCATCCATAAAAATTAACGTTGAATATACTGAGTATAAATAATCCCGATTTTTACACTCAGAATATATTCTCGGAGTTTAGAAGTTTTAAGGGGAGAAGATACCCAGATCGCATTCAAATCGCTTAGAGCTAATTCTTTTAGACATGATGGCTTCGTTCATCCCTGTTAAATTTGGTCTTACTTGTCTTAGGGTACACTTCGTGTTAACTTTCAACACCGTTTATTCGCACCGTAACTTCAGGCTTGTACTTCCAGAAATTGGAAAAATGTCTAATTCTCCGTTTTGAGAACTTCATGTGCGCTTAGTGGTTCGTTTGGATGAATTAATTGACACACATCAACTGGTAGGAGTGGCAAGTAGCGCTTGCCTCTGGAATGGATCAAAAAGATCAAATTTCATGTGACAATTTACTTTGTAATAAGAGAACGATTGTACAGATTCTCTTGATTTTCGTGCTCGCTTTAAGCACGCTATACAAAAGAAATCCTTAAAACGTTTAGACAAATCTGCACAGCCGTCGTCTTTTGGAAAAAAACCATCCAATAAAAAGTCGACGGTTGATCTCGCACGGATACCCACATGGACCACCCGGGACCAGGTGGAGCCTAAAACCCAAAACACGAGCTTCTCCTAACAGTCGCATCTTCAGAGCCCGCGCGCGTGGGGGTGGAGATAGAGCATCCCTGCCGTCGTCGAAAGCTCGTTAGGGTTGTCCTCGGCGGGGTAGGTGCGAGGAGAACCCGTTTCCGGCGAGGATCCGCCACCGGAAACCGGGCCGGGAGTGTTCTCAATTAAAGGAATCTCTGCAGCAACGGCAGGAGGAAGGGCTCTTTTGCATCTCGACCAACTGCTCGAGTGCATCTGCCCCCGAGGCCCAGACGCAAGCTGCTGCTACACTTGCAGACGACGCGTGCACCCGCGCCGGGGAGGGGAGGGAAGGGGGATGTAATTAATCATTGGAAGCCACTTCGTCAGACCCCGACCTACTGTCTGACATGGCTCAGCCGTCGACCGATCTGTCACTCCTTGTTTTCGCGGCCGGCGACGATCTACGTAATCCGCACGGATTTTGGCCGGTAGGTCACCGTGAGTGTGGAAAGGGTTCTCGGAGGAAGGCCATGGGTGCAGAAAGTTCTCGATGGGACGATCGCAGAGGGCAGGGTTGCTGCAGAATTTAGTAAATGAAATTCCCTGATTTCCCTGACGCATTTTGGTGAAATTCCCTGAAAATTGATGATGTGGCGGATGGTTAAGAAGTTAATGGAACATAGTTTTCAGGCAAAATTTGTTATTCGAAGCCTCTATAGAATTGGTTCCCATTCTATAGAATGGATTTGAGGTTGAAAAAAAAGACTGAAAAAAAAGTTCGGTAAATTATGGAACCACGATGTTGTTCGGTACACACGACCGAATTATTCGGTCTGCTCAGCCGAACTGTTCGGTCGACTGAATCGAACTGTAAGAATTTATTATGGTTCGGTCGCACAAATCGAACAATTCGATTGAACAGACCGGATAATTCGGTTGTGTGTACCGAACAACATCGTGGTTCCATAATTTACCGAACTTTTTTTTTCAGTGCTAGGTGATTTAACAAATTTTCCCTGACATTTTCGTCAATTTCCCTGACTGTGGCAACCCTGTAGAACGTTACATAAGGCGGCTCTAGAAACCCCGCCCCCTTAGAGCGTTACGTATTTTAAAAACGGCCCAAAAAATCTACCCTACTAAAATTTGAGTGCCTTTCACGACACGTGGCCCACCAGATGTAAATCGGAGTTGCTCGCGGTGTGGCCAGCGAGAGCAGACTGACGCAAGGAACAAAGTTCGCATTGACGAATTCGTGACGGCAACGTGGCTTTAATGAGACATTTTGTTTCATTGCACGTACTACGTACTCGCAACGCGCATACCTGGACGGGACTCAAACTCTTCCGAGCTAAGGAACAACGCCTTATGAGCCTTCGGACGTTGCCAAATTTTCTCTGTTAAAATACGAATTTCCAGGGAAATCCGTCAACATTTTTGCTCCAACTTTTCGAGGAATTTTAATGAAAATCGGATCTAAATTATATGAAAATTTCAAGAGAGAATGCTCGTAACTTCCTTAAAGATAAACAATCTATTGGAGGAAACTTGGCAACTCTCGAATATTCATACGGCGTTTTTCCTTAGCACGGCAGGGCTGTGAATAGCCGTGCCCGTGGAATTTTAAATTCAAATCCATCTGAGGTCCTGACGCTTATAGCGCTGGGTCCCACAGCTTGAGCCTCACCTTTTAGTTCCTTGGAGAATCGAAGCGAGCTTATAACCACCGTCCCAGTCGAAATCACATGCTTGCACGAGCATGCAGGACTGGACTGCATTTGGAAATTGGACTACATTTTGCGATTCGGAACTATAATTTCTGGCTCATCTGTAAAAACACTTACGTGCATAAGGAAACTAATGGTACAAACGCTGTTTCTAAACTAAGCCAGAAATTATAGTTCCGAGTTGCAAAATGTAGTCCAATTAGGAACTAAAATTTCTAGCTGCGTATTTGGTGATTATGCACAATCAGTTTCTTTACGGCCAAGACCAATCCACACAGGTCAGTCATTCCAGTGGACGAGTTTTGGTACTCTACTGCGCAATGACGTACTATTGAGTGCTTGCAATGTATTTCTTATGGGAGCACCCATTGTGACGTACTATTGAGTGCAGCCGAGTTAGGGCCGGGCGGGGAAGTGGCTTTCAAAAAGATGCGCAATGACTGACCTGTGTGGATTGGTCTTGTTTACGGCATGCATATACGTGTTTTTACGCAAGAGCCAGAAATTGTAGTTCCTAATGCAAAATGAAGAGCAACTGAACTACATTTTGCAATTTGGAACAATAATTTCTGGCTCAGTTTGAAAACACCGTATCTGCCACTAGTTTCCGTACGTATAAACGTGTTTTTACGTATGAGTTATGAATTGTAGTTCCTTATGCAAAATGAAGAGCAAATACGAGAAAGCTAGGGGCTACGGAGGAGGGGAGGACACCACCCTCCTTACAGAGAGCTTGAGGGATTTCGCGAAATAATTGCGGGAAATATCAGTCGTTGCGGGAGAGTCATTTTAAAAAATTCTTTAGCGAGTAGATCTCAAAATTGTTCCTGGAACTGTCAAAGAGCAATTTCAGACCATGTAACCTCCCCTCCCCCATTTATTGGGGTGCAATTATGTTCCCCAGGGAAGCCCCCCAGGATGAAATTACCCTTGAGTGCCCCATCCCTCCAACAAAAAAATTCAGAATTTTTTGTGAATTCGGTGAGAAATTTATAGCATGAAGTTGCTTTCAGTCTTCATTTAAAAAGTAACCGGGAGCAAAGATTCTGAACACCGCAACCGAACAACGTCGATGTGGTCTCGTCTTGAAAAGCCAGGTACAACTCACACTTCACTAGAAAAAATAAATAATAGAGAATTCTGAACAAGACAGGAAATCTGCAACGTCGCGTCGTAAACCGAGACATACTCAGATACACAGCACATATCGCAGAGTTTCTGTGATGTTGCAAATTTGTGAATTTCATGACTTTCGCTGACAACATCGTGAGTTGCAATGCTGTCCCATGTTGCAGGTTCTGTCACTAAAACTGGTAACTAGTGAAGCGCGAGGAAGTTTTAGTTGGTATTATTTTGTTGCAAAATTGTATAAGTTTATTGGTTGGATATGTCTATTTGAACTGGTTCCGAACGTCGATGGCTAAAGCCAAAATTTTCGTACATTGAAACGTTTCATTATTTACGAAGATTTACCTAATTAAAAACAGGAGCTAACCCTAATTCCACCTTCAAAATTTCTGGAAATATTTTGGAACGAATCGCGAAAAATCAACGAAAATTAAAAATATAAATGCAGAGAGTTAGTTTCTTTCATGAAAAGTTCGGAGGTAAAACATGATTTTCAACGTCCCAATTGAAGCTGCACATTTATTTACGTGAGCCATCGTTCTAAGGAATTTGCCGGAATCGTGAAAATGGAGGCTCCGTCATATACTGAGCAATTAATTAGCCGAATGCTAAACCCTGGTGATCAGAACAGTCAATGCAGTCATTCTGTTCGGTGATCTCAAAATATCTGTCTGGAGACGTTACAGTCTGCTGAAAATACAAAAGAGGAGGAACAGAAGAATGGAAAGGATTCGATTCGACTTACAGAGAGAAGAGACTTGCAAGGTAAATCCATATCTGAAAATCACAGAGGAATACACATGATGGTCGCACAGAAACACAATGAAAGTAAAAACGCAAGAATTTTCAAACACGAGGTTCAGTAAAAAGCAGCGAGTTCAATTCTACCGGAGAGCAACAATGGCCGACCGCTCCGAGGCAATGATTTTTGTCAACTGAAAAGAAAAGGAAGGGACGAAAGAAACGAACGAATCACTGCGCTGGGCGCGCGGTGCGGGGAGTTCCTCAAGCTCATGTCTGGCGATCCTCCAACTGTCTCCCCTCTCTCTCCCCCTCCCATTTCAATTTCTCCGTTTTCGAGTACTCCACTTGACTCATTCACTTCATTCACCTTTGTCGCAGGACCTACCGCCTGAAAGAGTCAAAAAACACCGCTGTCTGCTGTGTTTGACCACTTCTCTCTGCGAGTTCCGAAGATTCCGTTCTACGCTTCCTGTTTCGTCTTCGTCTGGATTCTAGACTTCGTTTCGATTGAATGCGGTTGGTCCGTAGGTCGGCATTACCTTTTCGACACAATTTACGGCTATTCACAGTCACAACCATTTCTCCCCATCTCAATATGTATTTCCTGACAGACACGTATTCTTGAATGGATTTATGAAACCGATGCGACGGATAAAAAATTCTTCGAAAACCCAAGGAGGCGGAAGGAGACTCAAAAACGTTGCATGAGGATTCAATTAGAATAGATAAGTCTAACTCGGACGATTGTTGAATCGGTTACCAATAGGTAGCTAGAAAGATAATGGAGGGGGGGGGAGTGTCAAGAAGCTTCTTGCCTTTTCGGAAATCTATTGATGCTCCATGGAAAATCAAGTAAAGGTAATAAGTTGGATTTTTTTAGCAATTCGATGGACGCCATATTTTGTGTCAGAACGACGTGCGATATATCGCATCGATTGGTTCCATTTTTTCCATCATTTTTTCAGCTACTCGTCATTTTTCTCGAATTTTGAGACCGTAATTCTGTTGTCAGGAGACCTAAGAACTCACTTATTAATTTTGACACACAAATTCAACGTAATAAAAGCGCGGTTCTTTTAGAGGAAAAATATCGCATTCGATGCTGATATATCGAAACTGCATTCGAATGCGATATTTTCTCTCTAAAAAAACCACGCCTATATTACGTTTAATTTGTTTCTCAAAATTGGTAAGTGAATTCTTTAGTTATCTGAAAACAGAATTGCGATCTCATAATTCTAAAAAAATGTCGAGTGGCTGAAAAAATGGAACCAATCGATGCGATGTATCGCATGTCGTTCTGACACAAAATATGGCGTCCATCGAATCACCTTAAAATCCAGAAAACAGGAAATCTCCATACAGAGGGAAAAAGCTCATTCGAGCACAATTTTCCCTCGAAGAGATACGTTGTTTGGTGCAACGTAAGTCACGACCATTAAGGAAAACTGCAGACGCGTTTCGGGATCTAATTGGACCCATCATCAGTAACAGCGCAGCCTCCTGCATTGTCTGCTACCTAGCTTGGTACCTCGTCAAAACCAGCCCGAAACTTGGGCAAGCGGTCGTTGGCGGCAAGTGAGGCACGTTGGCTAAAAAAATCCTAACTTACTGTCAGGCTCGGACTGGCCATAAGGCCATTCTGCCATTGGCAGATACGCCCCCTTGACGCACCGAAAACGCGCCCCTCTAACAGATAGCAAAATAAAAAAAATTACGACCGAGAATTTATGCGGAACATTTCTTAAATGAACGGAAGAAGAGAGAGTTAGGGGTAAAGAAAGGTGCTTTTGATAGTGGTGAATCGAGGCTCAAGGACTACTTTCTGAAGCGTAAACACTTTTTTGCGAAATGTTCACCTGTTTGTTGACATACAGCCGCTTTATCATCCCCTTCCTTCATTCGCTATGTATAACTCCCTTAGAAGCGATGGTTGATTCGATTTTTAGACATACTCACCCTTTATGGACCTCAAGAGAGACTTTTAATCATATTTCTTCCTTTTCAAAATGACTATTGATTTGGACATACCATAGCATATCTCGGGAAAACTTAATCTTAATTTATCTCGAAATTCAAAAATAAGAGACATCTAAAGTGTAAACGCGATACAAATATTCGCGCGAGATGGATGTCCACATTGCATTTGAAAAATATGAGACGCGATGGCGTGAGTCGTGAACTCGCAATGCTCTGCTCTATGCTACTAGTTTGAAGCACCATTGCGGATAAGACAAACGGAAACAAATACAATACGGAAATAGAGGGAGGGAAAAGATGCGCGTTTACGACGGCGCAGAGATACAACTATTCGTACTTGATGGACGTCCGTGCTGCATCTGAAAAATTGAAGGCGCGATGACGTGAAGCGTGAGCTCTCAATGCTGTATGCTGTCAATGAGGTGTCGCTCAGATTCGGGAGAAAAGTTTGAAAAAGGCCCGAGCACATTTTTCCTGCCCTCGGCTGTGTTACTCACGTAGTGCTTAAAGCACCATTACGAATAAGACAACGGAAACAAATACCTACAATATGGAAATAGAGGTAGGGAAAGAATGCGCGTTTACGACGGCGCAGAGATACAACTATTCGTACTTGATGGACGTCCGTGCTGCATCTGAACAATTGAAGGCGCGATGACGCGAAGCGTCAGCTCTCAATGCTCTGCTGTATGAGGTGGCGCTCAGATTCGGGAGATAAGTTAAAAAAGAGGTCCGAATACGTTTTTCCTGTCTTTGGCTGTATTGATACTCGTTCTTTTTTTTTTTTTTTTTTTTTTTTTTTTTTTTTTTTTTTTTNGAAGCGTCAGCTCTCAATGCTCTGCTGTATGAGGTGGCGCTCAGATTCGGGAGATAAGTTAAAAAAGAGGTCCGAATACGTTTTTCCTGTCTTTGGCTGTATTGATACTCGTTCTTTTTTTTTTTTTTTTTTTTTTTTTTTTTTTTCAGGTTCTTGTCTGATCATTTTTTAGGATGGATTTGCAGACCCACGTCTTAAGCTCGTGTAAACCGCAGCACTGGCTCAGTTCTTTTGGAAATAATGGTGCTTGGATGCGTCTAGTGGCTTTAATTCTTTATGTTTTCTTTCATTTCAGAAGTCTGTCGGTTACTTTAATACGTTCAATTTTGTAATTTTTACTCCGTGGATTGAACCTGAAAATAGCGTAAACTTGTGCTGATTTGCCAAAATTTTCTGAACCCCTCATCCAGGGAATGCCCTACCAGAAAATATCACATTACGACCCTTTAACCAGCCAAGGGTCTACGCCCCAAGATGCGAGTCAGTCCGACCCTGCTTACTGTCTAAGTCTAATCTATACGACCCGTGCGTCCACCGCAATCAGTTTGTAAAATCAAGTAAGTTTAGTCACGGGAAAATTCGAACCTGTTTTCAACTAAATTCAACAAAAAAATCTGAAAAGTAGAAAATTCGAACCTGGCAGGTACTATCCAGCTGAGAGTGGAAATTCAAAACTTGGTAAGCGCTGGGCAGTGGCGTGGCGTCCATAGGTTCGCAGTGTTCGCCGAACACCCTAAAATATTTTGAGACAATTGATAAATTATGGCTAACAATGTGGGAAACAATACAGAATAGTAGACCGCAAATAATTATCGGGAGATTTTCTTCCGACGGCGATATGCGGCGTGGCGGAGAGAAAGAATCCTGAGACGCGGGGTCCGCGAGGGGCCACCGATCCTGGATGAGAGTGAGAGGGGAACGGGCGGGGCGAGCTGCCCACTTCGGTGAGAAGAGAGAACCTCGGTGCAATGATGAAGAAGGGTCGGTAGACGAGAGAGCGGGAGGCACCGGCGCGG